CAAAATCGATTAATCAGTTTTGAATACCCTTAATCATACTATTACCAAACCTGGAAGTTTAAAATGTTATTTGACTCATCATAAAATCCGATGAGCACGTGACATGGTCAAGCGATGGATTGGAGAGCCGAATGACATGTCGGCTCTCATGTGTGTTTTAGTAGTGAGAGAGACACTGAAACGGTGGGAAAATGGGGTGGAGGAACTGGTTGTTGGCGCCAATTTGTATTGTTTTTAATCACATTATCAAACATGAATCTCCATTTGTTCAATTTTATCAGATGCCTAATCTATAAGAAAGGGCGAGAGTGAAGACTATGTATGTAAAACCTGATTTACTGTTATTGGCTTTAATCAATTAATCCTTTATTTATTTTGATTGATATTTGTTGTTGTTAGTATTGGTTCTGTATTGTAAGATTCAAATTTCATTGCTAGTGGGTGGGATGTGGTTGCAGGGAGGTGGCACATTGATTTATGCAATGACCAAATTACCCCTAAGACTGAGTTTCCACAAAATTAATAGAAATATCTTTATTTTTAAGTAACTTAACATAAAAAATTCATAAAATTACCTAGAACATAAACTTTTTAAAAACAATTTAAAAGGCCAAAAATTAATATAAATTTTAAGAAATTTTTTAACTGGGCAGGTTTTTTTTTAATTATTTTTCCCTTTTTTTTATGAATTTAACATAATTTTAAAACTTTTGGGGTTTTTTTTAATGATTATATTTATGTTTTTATTAATTTAACATAATTTTTAGGCTTTTCTTTTGAATTTTAAAAAAAAAATTTAGGGTAATATTGTCATTTAGTGGTCAAAATCAATGAACAATTAAATTTAATGGAAAAAAATAACGACAGGGAAGTGCTTGGATAATTTGCATAACCAAGGGACCAACTTGTCAATTTCAAAAACCACAAGAGAGGTAATTGGTTTAAACCCTTATTTTTAATTAGACAGTCTCACAACCATAATGTTATGATTTGGTTTTGGATTTAATAAAATTCCACCTTGAGGTCTCTAGAAATTTCCTCATAAGGTATTTGAAATAACAATTTTTCCTTTTGTCATCATCAGTTAAGAGTTTTTGCAGTTTAATTTAGCGGGATTAATAGTAATATGTGTTACTTAGACGATAAAAAGTATATTAAAACATTAATGATAGGAGGTAAATTGTTATTTTAGATACTTAAAAGGTGAACATTTTATTCAAGAAAAACTTGGGGAGAAATTGTATTAAATTACATAAATGTCCTCTCACGTTTCAACATTTCATCAGCGTATAGATATTAGGTTTAACACAAATATTCTACTCCTTTAACTTCCGTTGGCACTATGTTAGGGTTATTCCCATTACAGTCTCTCAAATATACAAAAATTATATTTTGGAACATAAAGGAAGACAATATGCCAAATTGCCAATGATTCCTCAAAGAAATTGAATTAATTTTTTCATTACACAAAGTGGTGAATGAAAAGAAAGGATTTATTAGTTTAAATAAAAATCACACCTAAAGTAAATTATATAATAACTAGTGTTTTAAAAATTAATCTCACCTAACCCATATATGATTAAGAGCTATAAAAGTTTTAGAAGTAAAGCAGATGATAAAANGTCGGATGCTTTCTGTGTTGTGATTCAACGTAATTACCATCTGATAGTTGGTGATGTTTGGTTTTCTAGGCAGTGAAATGATGTTGGTTGCTCTTTCTACTGTTGTAAGCTGCTGCTATTTAAGGTATTTATTTTCTGTGTGAAACTCTGGTTGTTTTTTTTCTGGGCTTTTCCGGATATTTTTGCCTTCTAAGGCTGCTTTGTTTTCTTGTATTTGCTTAATTAGTTTGCTTTCTTTCTATGGCTATGCTGTGGCTATATAATGCCATGTAAAAGTGCATATCACAAGTTTTACGTTTTTGTTTTACAAGTTTCATGTTGTTCTGTTATTGCAGCAATCTATTGTAACAAAAACCCGCTATTGATTGTTTTAAAAAGACACATGTGGTAGAACCTTGGGACCTATCATACTTAGGGGTGTTAAAAAAAAATACAGAAATCGAACCGAACCGGTTTTGGTTCAAAGAAATACAAAAACTGATTTTTCCATTCGGTTACCGGTTTACGAGAATGTGAGTATTGGTTAACTAAAATTTGTTTTATAAATCAGTTTATTATAAAAATATATAAAATATTAAATTAAAACTGGTTCAAGACTGGTTTTTTGGTGTTCAAAACTAGTTTACCCCTTAACTGGTTGCGTTTTAGTGTAGGAAAATTTTTGAATCAAAAAATTGGTTCAGTTCACAAAATCAGTTAATTGGTTTTGAACACCCTAATCATACTATTATCAAACCTAGAAGTTTAAAATGTTTTTCGACTCGTCATAAAACGTGATGACCACGTGACATGGTCAAGTGATGGATTGGAGAGCCGAATTAGTCTGGTGGAATTGCAAAACATGACGGCTCTCATGTGTGTTCCAGTAGTGAGAGAGACTTAAACGACAGGGAAATGGGGTGGATGAACGGGTCGTTGGTGTTAATTTGTATTATTTTTAATCACATTATCAACCAGAATCTCCATTTGTTCACTTTTTTCAGATGCCTAATCAGTGAGAAAGAGCGAGGGTGAAGACTGGATATGAAAAACCCAATTTACTGTAATTGGCTTTAATCTATTAATTCTTTATTTATTTTGATTGATTTTTGCTGTTGTTAATATTGGTTCCGTGTTGTGAGATTCAAATTTCATTGCTAGTGGATGGGATAAGGTTGCAGGGAGGTGGCAAATTGATTATGCAATGACCAAATTACCCCTAAAACTGAGTTTCCACAAAATTAATAAAAATATCTTTATTTTTAAATAACTTAACATAAAAAATTCGATAAAATTACCTACGACATAAAGTTCTTAAAAACAATTTAAAAGGCCCAAAATTAATATAAATTTTAAGAAATTTTTGAACTTGGTTTTGTTAATATTCCCCCCCCCCCCCCACCATCCCTCCTTTTTTTGAATTATACTATTTAAGACGTTTGGGTTTTTTAATGATATATATATATTAATTTAAACTAAATTTTTTAGGCTCTTCTTTTGAATTAACAAAAAATAGGGTAATATTGTCATTTAGTGTCAAAATCAATGAAAATTTAATAGAAAAAACTAACGGCAGGAAGGTGGTTGGATAATTCGCATAACATAGGGACCAACTTGTCAATTTTGAAAACCACAAGGGAGGTAATTGGTTTAAACCCTTATTTTTAATTAGATAGTCTCACAACCATAATGTTATAATTTATTTTGGATTTAATAAAATTCACCTTGAGGACTCTTGAAATTTCCTCACAAGGTATTTGTAGTAACAATTTTTCGGTTGTCATCATCGGTTGGAGCTTTTGGTGTTTAATTTAGCGGGATTAATGGTAATATGTGTTACTTAGGTGATAAAAACTATATTAAAACACTAATTATAGGAGGTAAATTGTTATTTCTAAAACCACAAGGAAATTAGTATAATTAACTGTAATTTTTATTAGCTTCCCACTTGCACTTATGATTTATAAATCCTTTTTTTAGTTCCTTTGCAAAAAGTGATTAATGGTTAAACAAATAAAAATTATATAATTGTATTTAACCCAGTTAGGGATTTTATATATACACCACAATAGTTGTCATTTTGAAATTTCTCTTACATTTTATTCCAGGCAATCGGATGATCATGTCGGAATACAATTTAATTATGTATGTTGGATGAAGCTACTGCTATGTTAATGTAGGCGATGTTTGGTTTTTTGGATAGTTAAATAATGTTAATTGCTATTTAATACTATTGTAACCTACTATTATAATGGTGTTTTGTTCTGTTATGTTCTAAGTAGAGTAGTGTTCGTAAGAGTAGGTTTTATGTAGGGTGTGATTGATATGGGCTTTTTTGGGATGAATGACTAAAGAAGCACAAATTATGGGTATTGGAACTAGGGGTGTTCAAAAGCGGTTAACCGAACCGAACCAGATTTTCAGTTCGGGAAAATTTTCTAACGAAACCGAACCGGTTTTAGGAAAAACCGGTTTTCAACCAGTTTTCCCACTTTTTTTTTTTAAATTTTGTCCTAAATTAAATTGTAAATATAGACAATACATTGGGAACTAAGAAAAAAAATTTGGGTTGGGATTTTAGATTGATTGAATTAGTGATTTATTTTAGTTTAGGTTATTATTTATTTATTTAATATATATATATTTGAAAAACCGTTTCTAATTTCTCCCGAACCGGTAACCGAATCGAAAATTCAGATTTTTTAATTTTTTGAACCGTAATCGAACCATTTTTTCAGTTAACCGGTTTTCGGTTCTATTAGCGGTTCGATTAACTGTTCAGTTCGGTTTTTACATTTTTTTGAACACTCCTAATTGGAACATAAAGCAATGGATATGCTAATTCAAAGAAATTGAATCAATTTATTATAGAAAGACTTTTAAAGGGAAAGAGTAGAAAGAGGAACACACTTTTCCGTCACTTTACTTCAAGGAAAAGCAATTCATTGAGACAATTTCAAAGAAATTTAGTAAAAATAGGTGTGAATGAAATTTCATGAGGTTTTTATGTTGAACTAGTGTCACAATCACACCCAATGTTCACGGCCCAATAAGTCAAGAAAAATGAGAAAAAGGGAAGCATCTTCCGGGGAATTTTCACTGATGAAACCAGAAATGTAGAAGGGTAGATTAGGAATTGTGATGATTTGGAAACTTCTGGGAAATTTCTTGTGTGGGAACTAATGAATTTGTGTCAGAATCACACCAGATGTGAATGGCTTATTGGTTGTTTTTGGGGTTGCAATTATGCGTTTAACTCTTTATGCAAAAGGCAAAGGCATCTTCCAGGAAAGGAGATAAAGTTTAAATGCTTAGAGATGGAAAGACTCAAGTATACGATGTGCTGGTTTAACTCTTTAGGTTTTTGTTGATGTAAGTAATTCTCATCACTGGAACTTAATGGCTGTTGCTTCTTCTTCCGCTTCTCCTCAGGAAAAGTATGATGTTTTTCTTAGTTTCAGAGGTGCGGATACGCGCTATTATGCTGCCTTGTGTCAAAAACATATCAATGCATTCATGGATGATGAAGAGCTTGAAAGAGGGGAGCAAATTTCTCCATCTCTTTTGAATGCAATTGAGCAATCAAACATTTCGTTGATCATTTTCTCTCAAGGGTATGCTTCTTCGAGATGGTGCCTTGAAGAACTCGAAAAGATTCTTGAATGCATGGACAGGTATGGTCAGATTGTAATGCCAGTCTTCTATAATATAGATACCTCAGATGTTAGGAATCAGTATGGGATTTTTGGGGATGCATTTGCTAAGCATGAAGAACGGTTTAAGGGTAGGCAGGATGTGTTACAGAGATGGAGGAGTGCTCTGAGAAAAGCTACCAATCTATCTGGCTTTGATTCAAATGTCATCAGGTAACTATTAATAGCTATTATTATGTCTTTTGTATGCATAATACTTTTACTTTCTGCTCAGTTTTTTTGTTTTTTAATTTGACTTATTTTCTTAGAAGAAACAATGACAATATTATTGATTGAAAATATAATTACAAAAAAGTGAACAAACTGTGCACAGTCATATTATTAAATTCATAGATTGGATTCTTGGTTTTAATTAATTTAGCGTTAATCATTGGCTGCACTATTTAATAGTTTGTTTATTATATATAAGTTAGATTATTGTTTTAGACTGAGGAGATGGTCGTAGGCAAAAAATCAAAGTCTTTTTGATCTACTGGGAAAGAAAAAGAAAAAAAGATAATGAGTACCAATAATTTGAAGTTAAAAGAAAGTGATTTTCATGCAATCTTGTAAGGTTTTTATTTTTTTAAATTTTTATTGGATTGCTAACCTAGGTGATATTCTAGTTATTCTACCCTGTGTTACTATTTAAATATGACGTCATTTGATAGCAAATTACTAATTCGTTTTCCATTTAGCTATATTTTTATTTAATTGATGCAATTTGAGCTTGATATTCCTTATTCGAGAGATCATCGAGTAGCATAACTTTTATTGTTGTTTTTTGCATTGAGATATGGCATATATATAAATACTTCAAAGTAATTAATATATTGTTAGGGAATATGCAAATGTTCAAAATCTATTGATCTCCAAATTTTAGTGCCATTGATCTCACATCCTAGGATGGAATATTTGCCCTTCCCTGTTTTTATGATCTTCATTGAGATTCATTTATTGGAATATATGTTGTGTACCTTTTCTTTGTGATTTATTTAATNAACAAGATAGTGGAGATTGTGTAATGCTTACTCTCAAATCTTTGTTTACACCCACTTGTTTTATCCAATACAATCACACACATATTATGTCTCTCTCCATTTGTACATATATATCAAAGGGATATTGCAATTTGATGATCTTCTTGATATAGGAAAAAGAATCCAACATGTTAGAGGAACAGGAGGAATTGCTTAGCTTTTTAAAGGTTCCTGTGCTACGGGGAAGAGAATCCAACATGTTTCAGGGACCACGTGGTGCCATATTTTACCCTGGAAGCGAAATTTCAGATTGGTTTGACCTTGTAAGTAATGAAAATTTTATAAAGCTTCCAACGGGTTGCCTCAATGATAATGTAATCGGTTTCGCTTTGTGCGTTGTTTTATCATCTCCATGCAAGAGTCTAGATTTGGAAGACTGTTATTTCAGAGTTGAATTTGATCTTTTTGTTGATGAGAAGCTCGTTTCCCGTGGCCTTCTCCGAAGGGCCAGTGCAACCTTATATGCTTCAAAATCAGATTTAGATTATGTAATCATAGGATTTGAGTACATAGTTTTGTCTAAATTGCTTCCACTCGGTTCGAATAGCGAGGGCCGCGTTGAGTTTGATTATTATTGTTCTCCGTACAAGTTGAAAAAGTGTGGAGCTAGATTGTTGTACGTCGAAGATAATGATTTGAGAACAGATGCAAGAGTGGACAGAGACCAGAGATTGAAATCTATAAATGGCTCTGATGAGTGATGATGACTGTATGTAAAAAGGCTACAGTAAGTGGACTCAAACATTGAATTCAATTTTATTTATTTAGTGATATTTATTTGTCAAATCTTCATTTAATGATTTTTTTAAAATTAAAATATTTTTCATGTCTACTTAATTTAGGGGTGCATAGGAGTTGAGCTGAGCCGAGTAGTGGTTGACTCGAGCTCGGCTTGAATGCATTAGCAAGGGCCTCGAGCTGTCGAGCTCTGGCTCACGAGCTTGGCTCGTCTAAGAAAATGCATGGCTCGGCTCGGCTCGGCTCGTCTCGTTTATATATTAAACGAGTCGAGCTTGAGCCATGCGTTTTCTATTGACCAAAATTTTATACAGATTTGTCAAATTGAAAATATATTAAATTTTACACTAATAACTAATCCAAAAATCTTGATAGAAGATCAACTAATTAAATAAAGAATCAGACAATCAGTCATTCTTTTCCACATCAGTTCACCAATTAAATAAAAACAATATGGTTAATGCCTTGAAAATATGGTTACTTGAATGAATAAAGGTTGCATGGTTTTTCTTCCATTGCTCTTGAAACTGGTAGCAAACAGCTATGGTTTAAACTAAGAATTATTGGATAAAAAATTATTTAAAGCAGATTTTGGAAGATGCATGATAATATGTAGACTTAAAAGATTAGGG